GATTGGGCCATGGTCTGGATTGGGCCCACAGATCAGTCCTGTGAACTGCAGTCAGTACACAGGGCTGGTCCAGTATAGACACCACATGTAGCACACAATCCAAGCTGGCCCTAACATATGTACTGGCTCCAGCTCATTGCATCACATGCAATACACGCCAGCCCCAGTCCTGGTGCCACATGCTGCATGCAGTGTGAAAGGCTGGTCTGGGGCTTGTGCTGCATATGGTGCCGTATCTGTGTGCTTGATCCAGTGCATGGTGCTAGTCTGAATCATAGAAAATGAGGGTTGGAAGGGACCTCAAGAGGTCATCTAGTCTAACCCCCTGCTCAAAGCAGGACCATCCCCAACCAGATCATACCATCCAAGCCTTTCTCTAGCTGGGTCTTAAAAACCTCCAAGGATGGAGATTCCACAACCTCTGGGTAACCTGTTCCAGTGTTTTACTACTCTCCTAGTGAGAAAGTGTTTTCCTAATGTCTGACCTAAACTTCCATTGCTGCAACTTGAGATCATTGTTCCTTGTTCTGTCATCTGCCACCACTGAGACCAGTCTAACTCCATCACTTTTTGAGCCCCCTTCAGGTAGTTGAAAGTTGCTATTAAATGTTCCCTCAGTCTTCTCTTCTCCAGACTATATAAGCCCAGTTCCCTCAGACATTCCTTATAAGTCATGTCCCTCAGCCCCCATTTCTATTGCCCTCTGCTGAACTCTCCCCAATTTGTCTACATCCTTTTTCTAGCGGGGGAGGCAAAACTGAACACAGTACTCCAGATGTGGTCTCACTAGTGCTGAATAAAGGAGAACAATCACTTCCCTTGATCTGCTGGCAACATTCCTACTAATGCAGATGTTGTTAGCCTTCTTCACAATAAGGGCACACTTGGCTCATATTCAGCTTATTGTCCACTATAACCCCCAGGTCCTTTTCTGCAGAGCAGCTGCTTAGCCAGTTGGTCTCCAGCCTGTACCAGTGCATTGATTGTTCTGTCCTAAGTGCAGGAATATGCAATTGTCCTTGCTGAACCTCATGAGCCTTCTTTTGGTCCAGTCCTCCAATTTGTCAAGTTCTCTCTAAATCCTAGCCCAATCTTCCAGCATATCCACTACTCCCCACATCTTGGTGTCATCTGCAAACTTGCTGAGGTGCACTCCATCCCACTTTCTAAGTCACTGATGAAGATATTGAACAAAACTGCCCTTAGGACCAACCTCTGGGGCACTCCACTTGACACCAGCTGTCAGCTAGACACGGAGCCATTGATTACTACCCTCTGAGCCTGATGCTGCACTCAGTTTTCTATCCACCTTATAGTCCCTTCATCCAATCTGTACTTCCTTAGCTTGCCTGGAAGAAGGTTGTGGGAGACCATATCAAAATCCTTGGTAAGTCAAGGTGTATAATTTTTAGGGTCGGAAGGGACCTGAACAGATCAGTCCGATGCCCTGCCCTGGGCAGGAATGAATGCTGGGATCATAATACCCCAGCCAGATATCTATCCAATATCATGTCCACCACTCTCCCTGCATCCACAGAGCCAGTCATTTCATCATAGCAGGCAATCAGGTTGGTCAGGCATGACTTTGCCTTGGTGAATCCATGCTGACTGTTCCTAATCACCTTCTTCTCCTTCAGGTGCTTAGAAATGGATTGGTTTAGAACCTGCTCCATGATTTTTCCAGGGAGTGAAGTGAGGCTGACCGGTCTGTAGTTCCATGGATCTTCCTTATTTCCTTTCTTAAAGATGGGCACTTACACACATGCGGGGAGTCTATTCCAACGCACTGGAAATCCAGCATGTCAGAGCATGTAAGTGATGCACCTGGCACTGCATTGGGTGCAGGTGTGTAAATGGTGCAGCATGCATTAGCGCTGAGAAAATGTCAGGTGGTGTGCTTTGAACTAAAACATGTTTGATGCATTTTAGTTCAAAGCGCACCACTGCCATTTTCTCAGCACTGATGCGCACTGAGCTACTTATACACTTGTACCTGATGCAACACTGGGCGCTTTTAATTAGCACTAGAAGTGCCTGGTGCTGCGTTGGGAGCATGTGTTAAAATGCCCTATATATGCCCTTTTCCAGTCATCCAGGACTTCTTAAAATAGTCACAAGTTTTCCAAGGTGATGGCCAGTGACTCTGCAATCACATCAGCCAATTCTCTCAACAGCCCCGGGTATATCCTATCCTGCCCCATGGACTTGTATACATCCAGCCTTCCTAAATAGTCCCTAACCTGTTCTTTTGCCACTGCTGGCTGCTGACCTCCTCCCCAAACTATGCTGCCAGGTGCAGTAGTCTGGGAGCTGACCTTGCCTGTGAAGATCAAAGTGAAAAAGGCATTGAGCACTTCTGCCTTTTCCACTTCGTCTGTCACTAGATTGCTTCCCCCATTCAGTAAGGGACCCACTCTTTCTCTGATCTTCCTCTTGTTGGTGACATACTTGTAGAAACCTTTCTTGTTATCCTTCATATCCCTTGCTAGCTGCAACTCCAATTGCGCTTTGGCTTTCCCAATTTCATCCTTGCATGCCTGAGCAATGCTTGTATACTCCTCTCTAGTCATTTGTCCAAGTTTCCACTTCTTGTAAGCTTCCTTTTTGTGTTTTAGCTCACTGAAAAGTTCCCTGCTAAGCTAAGCTGATCTTTTGCCATACGTGCTGGTCTTCCTGTGCATCAGGATGGTTCGTCCCTGCACCCTCAGTAACATTTCTGTAAAGTACAGACAGTGCTCCTGGACTCATTTTCCCCTCAGACTGGCCTTCCAGGGGATCCTGCCCATCCCCTGCCCAACACTCCCAACAGATGTCGGGTGATTGAAGTCTCCCATGAGAACCAGGGCCAGTGATCATGAAACTTCCACTAGCTGTTTGAAGAAAGCTTGATTCACCTCTTCCTCCTGGTGTGGTGGTCTATAGCAGACTCTCCCCTCTGACCCTAACCCAGAAACTTTCAATAGGCCTGTTTACAGTTTCATACTGGAGCTCTGAGCAATCATACAGCTTTTTTCTTTTTTTTTTAAAACCTAAAAAGCAACTTCTGCTCCTTTTTCCCCTGCTTGTCATTCCTGAACAGTGCTTCAGTCATGTGAGCTATAACCTGTCATGCATGGGTATCTCACCAAGTCTCTGTTATTTCAATCATGTCATAATTCTGGGGATCTGAGCTGGGGGTCTGATCTGGATTGGCCCAGATCTGGCACACAGGGCTGGCCCAGTCCAGGCCTGCTTGCACAATATGCCCCAGACCAGTCCCGTGTGCTATGTACAGCACATGTCAGACCAGCTCCATGTACCATGTGCTGCATGCAGGGTGCTCCGAGATCCATAGGCAGCACCACAGGCTGGATAACAGATCTTTGTTGCCAGCATCCAAAAGGGAAAATACACAATCTGCAGTCCAAACTCAGTATCATCGTTCTGGCTGCATAAAGCCTACATTTCTGTGTGCACCGTTTTGAAAGAACATAAAGGTTATAGCCAAACATGAGTTTTTAAACATGGAGATTCTGTAGATAGTCAAGGGGACAACAACCTTATAACTTATGCTGATTGTATTCAGTGCCACCACTAAAGCAAACAGTGAACTCTTTGCGAAAAGAAAAACATTTTCAAGAGTCTACAAAAAAATAAGTGACTAAGTAGGTTGTAATGAATATTGCATCAATATGATACATTTCATAGGCCCTCTCTCTGAGAAGGCAACCTGCCTTACAAAAGTTCCCTGGCCAGCAGTTTTAGAATGCAGCAGAGTGCCCACAGTGGCTGCTGCACCCAGAGGCAGCAGCAACTATTACAATAGCATGGCTGAAGCAAAAGCTGGGTTTCTCATCCCCCACTCCCATCAGTACCCAATTGCCCCACTCTATTTACATTACTTACCCTAGCTATGTATACAGCTATAACAGCTCTCTCTAATTCTATTTCTAGCTACTTGTTAATGACAGCAATTAGTTTAGGATGGTGGGAGGGGGGTAAAGTGTTACAGATGATTCCTGTGTCCATTGCCTCCTTCATTTTTGGAGTCCAATTTATCTCTGGATATAGGACCTGCACTTAAAGTCTACCCACTGGGGCTAATGGAGCTGTTAGGTTATTGTCTCTGTGGTTTAGACAACATCAACACAATCTCTTGTCCTCAGCTAGCAACTCTAAGAAATAACTCCTATGCGATGCTTCTAGTACAATTGATTCTTTAGCAAAACAAATGCAGAATCTTCTCCACTTGAGTTTCAGCCTGTGATCCGCTTATGGTTCTGACAATATTTTGGTCTACCACCTCCAAGCTCTCCTTCCTGGCTAGAGAAAGCTTGTGCAGAGGTGTTGGGGATAGATGAAGTAAGATTAGTTTTACACTGAGTGCTGGAGAGCTCCCTTTTAGAATTTGGTAAGTCTTTTAATTATTTTAGATGTTGCCCTAAATCCGGCTTGTCCAACATGTGGCCCGCAGGCCGCCATGTGGCCCTCCAAGCTGTTTTATGAGGCCCGAGGTGCTGCAACAGGAAACAAAAGTAAACACTGTACTTTCGTTTCAGGGGGGTGATGTGATACTGCTTCCTGTGAGGTCTTTGAATATGGCTCGCAGGCCCACTGGGTGATAAAGAGTTCATGATCTGACCCCACATTCAAAAAGGTTGCACACCCCTGCCCTAGATGGTAGATAGATGTTTCTGTAGTGTTCCAGATCTTGCAAGTATACTCAGATATATTGTCATTAACAGTAGAAATGTATAATTCTAACAAAGCATTCAGTAAATAAAATAAAAATGTAATCAAATCCCCATCAGTAATCAGTTAGTAGCTGTGCTCAGCAGATCAATTTGTCTATTTTATTATATGTACACAAAAAGACTCAGAATAAGATAGCATGGCTCTCTGGTGCATCCTCTTTTACAGGTTTGAAGTAATATCAGTTTAGTAATGTCTGTAAACAAAACAAACATCCACTAAAATGTTATTAACGAAAATAAAATGTTCCACTTTGTTTCTTTTGACAGGATAATTGAAGCTATCTGCATAGGCTGGTTCACTGCAGAATGTATTGTGAGGTTCATCATCTCCAAAAACAAGTGTGAGTTTGTCAAAAGACCCTTGAACGTCATTGATTTGCTGGCAATCACTCCTTACTATATCTCTGTGCTAATGACAGTTTTTACAGGGGAAAATTCTCAGCTCCAGAGGGCAGGAGTCACTTTGAGGGTCCTTAGAATGATGAGGATTTTTTGGGTGATTAAACTTGCCCGACACTTCATTGGTCTTCAAACGCTTGGTCTGACTCTGAAGCGTTGTTACAGAGAGATGGTTATGCTACTTGTATTTATCTGTGTTGCTATGGCAATTTTTAGTGCACTTTCCCAGCTCCTTGAAAATGGACTGGACTTGGGAACAAAGAATAAAGACTATGCCAGCATTCCTGCTGCCTGCTGGTGGGTAATAATTTCTATGACCACAGTTGGTTATGGCGACATGTGCCCTATCACCGTACCAGGAAGGATTCTTGGTGGAATTTGTGTGGTTAGTGGAATTGTTTTATTAGCCTTGCCAATTACTTTCATTTATCATAGCTTTGTGCAATGTTATCACGAGCTCAAGTTCCGATCTGCTAGATATGGCAGGAGTCTCTCTGCTGAATTCTTAAACTAATGACTGCATCTTCACCACAGAATAGTACTAATAGTACAAACGAAGCTTATTCTTGGTAGAAGAAGGTGGTGGACACTCCCTTCATGTGCCCTTCCTGCTGAATGATTTAAGGAATAATATCATCAACTTTGGAAAACATCAGACACCATTCAAACCTGAAGAATGCCTACCTGCTTTGGGCCCACAGCATGGAGCAGCAGGGGCAGTAGTGGTATTGAGATCTGAGGAACAGAATAGAACAACAGTGGGTTTGGAAAGCTCTCAACCTTTCATTTGGCTTTGCCCTCATTTTGCATTTCTAAACAACCACACACCAAAAAAAAAAAAAAAAAAACAAGGTCTTGCTATAGAGACACAAAAGGGTCTACAACTCACTGGGAGTCACTGCTTCTTAGCACATTTGTCTGAGCAGTGTATAGCAGAAGTTGGTAAAATATTTCAAAATCTGAAGGTCTTTTGACCTAGTTCTCATAAGTAATATCCAGAAAACATGGAAACATTGTAGTGCAAAACTACTTTGACTCCTTCAAGCTATGTGGTTGAGGGAATAATTTGGTCCTATGAAAGAGGAAATATATAAGTAGAGAGGCAAGCAGAGACTCAGGATCTGATTCTGATCTCATTTAAAGGCACTTAAATCCACAGGAACATGTGTTAAATTACTTCGTATATACAGCGGGGTAATTAAGATAAGTAGCTGGCTTTATATTGTAGCAGATGCTTATTTTACTGCAGCTAGTGTTTCTCTGATAATAAGGTTTACAATCAAACTAACACTGTACTTTGTAAAAATGAGAGTAAAATTCAGTCATTGACTGTATGTTCAATGTACTGACTGTTAGCTCAATGGGTGAGAGAGTGCAAATTTTGCTAAGCACCACCACCATGAGGCTATATGTCTATGAGCCTTGATTTTTTAAAATTTTATTAAGCACATTTCTTACATCAATGTGAAATAGTTTCCCCAAGAGAAATGACAAGAGCCTATCTTTTGAGACATTTCAAAGTAATCTGGAGAAAGCACTAGAAAACAGGAGTGCATATAAACGCACTACGCTGACTTAAAACAAGGTGACTTAACTAAGTCAACTTAACGGTTAAATTGACTTAATTTATGCCATGTTGGAGTGTACACATGTATAGCTCCTCGACATGGTGGCAGCCACCTTGTGAGCTAAGTCAACTTAACTAATGCGACTCAAGATAATACAACTTGTGTATTATCCTGCGCCACATTTAAATTGGACTCTGTTCCACATACGTATATATGCTCTGACAGTTAAGTTGACTTAAAAAAGTTAAGTTGGTGTAAATGTCAGAAAGTTTGTACTGTATATGTGTACACTCCCCAGGAGAACAATTATCCCCTTTCAGGGACTGGTGCAGACGTCCTAAATAAGGTGGGTATTTTTTAGTTTTAAATTCTCTGATGATCCTTATTGAGGGATCCACTGTGAATTGATGTAATTTAAACATAAGTTAAAAGAAAACCCTGTCAAGCAGTCTGGGTGATATAGAAAAGGAGTATTCCAAACGGCTGGAAGTTGTGCTTGGCAAAAAGCACTGTATTTTCCAATGTCAGTATGGGATTCAGAGGAATGAAGTTAGATTCCAAAATGTGTACACTATGTTCCTTGTGTGTGTAGTATTGCTTATCTATAACTCTGAAAGGCTTTAATATATAACTATGCTGTTAAACTTTATAACACATTTAGGTATGGCTTCACATATTTATGCATTAAACAACACCCACAGGAAACAAAAATTCTGAATACAGTGGCTCAGAATTACTAATATATTTGAATGTGATATTCTTGCCTGAAAATTGTTGCAAAATGTTTACTAGTACTCTACAATAGAAGGATATTTTGATGCTTTGTACACATTTTTGTTACAGCTTTAGAAATAAAGTGTCTGGCACCTAGAAACTGAAATCTCCAGTTCTGCTCATTCAAACTAAAAGTATTAGTATAAGCATATAACCAGTACTTGTAGAGTACGAACCTGAAAAGTTAGAGCTCTTAAGTGGGATACTAGTAGCTTATAAAGGAGAAAAGGTTATTCTGCTAGTTAGTCAATGAGAGAAGGGAACTGTCAAACAGCAAGAAGATGTAAAGCCATCTGAAATAAAAATCAGCTATGCTCTTGATTTTCATAGTTATGGTTTTCATTCCACAAATTACTTTGCCTAAAGTTCTGGTTTCTTCAGTCATTTCCAGTAGCCAGAACTAAGAAAGGGCTTAGATGCCTATAACAGAACTTAAGCAGAATGAGGGTGGGGGGAGGAAGGTGGTCCAGGTTCCACACCCTGTTTCTAAACTTATTTGTGTTTCTTAACCAGAGATTGTTGAATACATAAGTAAGGATGGCAGCAAGACCATAACCCAGGACTCCCCATCCCCAGGTGAATGCCCAAGCCTGTGGAACAGTGAGGATGCCATGAGACCCTTTTAAGGGTGCTGCAGGGTGCTACACGACTAAGAACGACTAAGCTGTAGTGAGTAGGCCTATGCGAATAGGGAAGAACTCGATTTGGATTCGGCGGATTTGGAGGACAGTGATGGGGCCTCTGGGCACTCATGCCAGAGCCCCCCTGCGCAGCGCGGGGCAGTGGGGGCAGGGGAGATGGCATCCGTGTGGCAGATGCCCTGTGGCGCGGGTGCAGTGCGGCTTGGCAGGGTGCTGTGCACTGTCCGAGAGCTGGGGCTGCTGGGCCCCAGCTGACTGCTGGAGCCGCCCCAGCTCCCAGATAGCGCACCGTACTGCACCTGTGCTGTGGGACAGCTGTTGCATGGGTGCCAGGCAGAGGTGGGAGGATAATCTCCGCTGCCCCCTACTGTCTCGTGCTGTATGGGCGGGTTCTGCCACGAGCCCTCAGAGGCCCCAATCTCAGCTGCTTTTTCTTTTTTTTTTTTAAATTTGCTGGGAGGCTGAGCTGGGCCAGGGATGGGGCTGGGCAGGGCAGCCATGGGAGTTTCTCCCACCAGACCTCCAGCTGTGACTGCCTCTGCCCTCGTGGGGGGGCCATGGGGGCTATGCCCTCCTGCTGCTTGCCCAGCGGGGGGGGTGGGGGGGCGGCGATGCAGGCATGGCTCACTCTGGGTGGCAGCAGGGCATAGCCCCTACTCCCATTGTTGCTGC